TTACATGAAGAGTCATGCTTTTCACTTGAAAATAAACTTTTCTATTAGATATCTATTTATATTTGTAAACATTTGATAGGCAGCAAGGCAGTTAGAATTTTTCAAAGGGAGGAGTCACTCAGGGCCCAACACAGACTCTTTGGCTGATGCTTTAGCAATTGCTCAACATCATGATGGCGTTTGTGGTACGGAGAAGCAACATGTGGCTAATGATTATGCAAAAAGACTATCATTAGGCTACTCAGAGGTACAGTTGCTGACCATCAACTCAAGATTTTTCTGCACATCTGTTAATTCAGTCTGGTTAAATGTCATTTACCATTTCAACATCTTTTTTTAGGCTGAGAGGGTAGTTGCGTCTTCTCTAGCTTTCTTTGCTGGGTCAAAGGCATCAACTGGACATAGGAACCCAACTGCAAATTTCCAGCAGGTAAAATATCTTTGACAAAACTCATTTTCATATCTGCTGATTGTTTATCTTCTAATTGTTATTCACATATAGGGAATTTGACATGTGAACCGTTTCTTCTTTTTCCCTCTCTCTCTTTACCTTTCCCCAGTGCCCACTTCTGAACATTAGTTACTGTCGTGCATCAGAAATTGACCTTTCTCATGGGAAGAATTTGGTAAGAAAATATCTATCTTTTCTCCTTTTATTTCGTGTTGTAACTAAGACTTTGATACCATAGTTGAGTTTCTCAAATTCAGTTCTCTTTTTCACTTGTAGATTGTTGTGGTATACAATTCTCTTGGATGGAAGAGAGACAATGTTATTCGGGTTCCGGTTAGTACTTCCTTTTTGGACTTGATGCGTTATGTTCTGAGGCTTTATGATGTGCTTTGCTAACCAAAGAGAATTGTAGGATAACAGTAATAGCTTTTGATTATTACTCTTGTAATAGGTTTGAATTGAGATCAACTTTATCTAATTTGCTATAGGTTATTAATGAAGATGTTCATGTTCTTGATTCTGAGGGGAGAGAGATTGAATCACAACTTGTTCCTCCAGCTGATGCTTATGCAAGTCTAAGGAACTACCATGTCAAGGCATACTTAGGTAGCAAACCTGAGGAGGTACCTAAGTATTGGCTTGCATTTTCTGTCTCCGTACCCCCACTTGGCTTCAGCACTTATACAATCTCCAGTTCCAAAAGTTCAGGTTCACTGATGCAGCTGCTGTACTGATTGAAATTTGTCTTGCCAAGTTGAACAATATAAATATTATCCCCTTGATTGTCTGTTTATTACTCATGTAACTGCAGGAGCTAGTTCAACCAAATCATCTATATACACATTTCAGAGAGGTGAAAAATCAGATATTGAAGTTGGTCCAGGAAATTTGAAGCTTACTTTTTCTGCAGACCTAGGGAAGGTCACAAATTACGCTAACAGTAGAAACTCAGTATGTATTATACCTTTCTGCTGTTTATTCAATGTTTCATTCACCTTCTCCAATATTGTATCTTGGTCTCTTTCTACCTGCAATTACAAATGAGGACTACCATGCTTTATTGTGCCTTATGTTTCATGTAAACTTATATGAAACTTTTCTAGGTTGAGGAATTGGTGGAAGAGTCGTTCAGCTTCTACACTGGATATATAGGAAGTAAGGAAGACACCCAGGTATACCATTTGACTGGGAAACCCCTGAAATTTGCTCATTTATTTATTAGATAATTCCTTTTAGAGTTGTTCTGATGCAAATATTCTTCTACTGTTGACAAGAACTCTGGGGCCTATGTCTTCCGTCCAAATGGCACATTTCTTATAAAGCCTGAAACAGAGGTGTGCACTCCTTTTTTTTTTTCTTTTTTTCCTTTTTTTTTTTTAATTTGGCTCAAATGATAATCATGAAAATTATCAACGAAAAGATTTTATTTGGTCTCAGGTTCCTTTGACTGTTATGCGTGGACCAGTGTTGGATGAGGTGCATCAACAGATCAATTCTTGGATATTTCAGGTGCCTTGCTTGTCAAGCTCTTTCTGTCTGCATGTGGTGTTTTTCTGTATTAACTTCTATCCCTGTCTTCAAGCTAAAGCCACCTACAATATGCATTAAAGAAAGGAAAAAAAATACGAGTTTAATGTTGGATGTGGATCTAGATGTAGAAGACAAAGTAAGTTGTGGATGGCAAAAAAGGTAAATTGTTGAATATTGAAGGAGAAATTGTGGATTCTATGGTGGTTACTTGCTGTTAAAATGTCATCAAAATTTTCAGGATTGTGTGTGTGTGTGTGTGTTTTATTTACATAAAAAGGAAAGTTCCATATCTTATGTTGAAGTATTCACTGCACTTACAGCTTTTTATGTTATTGTGTAATCCTGTGCTCATGGCTTTGTTGCTTCTCTATATTATGTTAAAGTATACAGGTTTCTTTCTAACACTAATATTACATGGAACATAAATGCAGACTACCAGGCTTTACAAGGGAAAAGAGCATGTTGAAGTTGAGTTTATTGTAAGTCTAAAAATGTCTCCTTGATTCCCCCAGCACCTTCAGTATGCCTAAATGACATATTTTCTTCTTTATTTTCTTCTGTTTTTTTTATATTTGGAATTTTGAGTGGTTTATTTGTTGATGGCTATTGGTGGTCTTGTTATTCAGCAGATCTTATATTTTGATAGTTAATTGTTAGATCATATGGTTTAATAGCTTCTGGAATATCAGGTCGGACCTGTGCCAATTGATGATGGATTTGGCAAAGAAGTTGCAACTCAGATTAAAACTTCTCTGGAAAACAATAAAACATTTTACACAGATTCTAATGGACGTGATTTTATTAAAAGGGTATGTTCGATATGTGGAATCTTGTCAGTCTTGATCAGTTTGGATATCATCTTGATTTCATGTTCTATTCTGTCTATTAATTGCTTTCCTGTTGATGTGATGAATCTGCAAGAAGGATAATCAGTGAAGTTCTGTAATTTTTCTAATTTTCATTTTCAGGTTCGTGATTATAGAACAGACTGGGACCTGAAAGTGAACCAACCTGTTGCTGGAAATTATTACCCTGTATGTTTCTTCAACAGGCAGTATCATACCTTGAGATTCCTTTATTCCTTTTAGGAATTTGATATTAGTGACTCCTTTGGGTTAACAAATGCAGATCAACTTAGGAATTTACATACAAGATGGTAGGAAAGAATTTTCAGTGCTGGTGGATCGTTCTGTTGGAGGATCTAGCTTAGTGGATGGACAAATAGAGCTGATGCTCCACAGGTACATTATCACCTTGAAATGCTTATTCTCATAGACTGTGAAGCCTTGTGTCTTACTGTCTTCAAATGGAAGTTTCAAACCATGAGATTATGGATATGGAAACTCTCAAGGGTAACATTTATTAATAGTGGGTTTAGCAGCATGGTTGTAATCTTAATGGGTTTAATTCTTGCATGTGCTGTACATAATCAGAACTATGATCATCATTCTCTCTGCCATTCAGGAGACTGCTACTGGATGATTCGAGAGGTGTTGATGAGGCTCTAAATGAAACAGTCTGTGTTCTTGATGACTGCAGAGGACTAACTGTAAGTGAATGTTATCATTGGTTAGATCCTAAACTTTTTACTTCACATTCAATATTTTCCTCTATCAATTTATCTGACTGCCAGCCTGCCACTAGAATTGGACGACTAGTCTCTCACTGTTGCAAGCTAACTTTTGCTTTCAATAGAGTCTTAGTAACTTTGCTATATGCATGGGATGTAGAAAATTATATCAGCTTGTATTTTGTGTACAATTCATTATAATCTGGAAAAATGAACATTAGCATTCACAGATTAATCACCATAACTCTTGCAGATACAAGGAAAATATTATTTCAAATTTGACCCTCTTGGAAATGGTGCAAAATGGCGTCGCTCTTTTGGGCAGGAGATATATTCACCCCTCTTGTTGGCATTTTCTGAACAGGTTTCTTAAGTCCCCCCAACCCTTTTCATGTTGTAGTTTAGTGTTGTGGATTGATTTCTGACAGTTTCTTCTGGCCCTGGCAGGACGGAGATGACTGGATGAGTTCTCATATATCAACTTTCTCAGGAATTGATTCCTCCTACAGTTTACCTGATAATGTTGCTCTCTTAACTCTCCAGGTAATTATGTTTGTGGTTCATATCCCATATGCATTATCTTGAGTTTAGGACCTTATTGGTGTGCTCCAGAGATAAGATATTAGTGAACTCAAAATGAACAAAAATAAGTACCTTTGCAGGTTCATCCAGAATACTTGAACGGCCTTAGAAATTATTCTCTAATTTATGTCTGTAACCAGAAACTCAAATAAAGTGAGGAATTTATGGCATGCAGCTAAAATTAAAGGCATTAGGCTTAAAAGCTACTTGACAGTTTTACTTCATTTCGTATTACTTTTCCATTTGAATTACACAGGAGCTTGATGGTGGAAAAGTTCTCCTCCGGTTGGCACATCTATATGAGGTTTTCATCTCTCCCTCTTATTCTTTTCGTTTTCTGTAATACATATGAGTTTCTACTAATGAGCATTGCTTGCTTTCTTGTGTCTTTGCATTGAGTTATATGTATATATTTTAATTATGGTTTTTTTTGCACTCACAAAAAGCTTGGAGAGGACAGTGTTCTTTCTGCAATGACGAGTGTGGAACTCAAGAAGCTGTTCCCGGGCAAGGAGGTAGATGAAGAGAGAAATGATGGAGTTTGAAAATTTTTCATCATAAATTGAGGCATGCATGCATTTCATTTCATAACCTCCTTGATTTGTTGTTGTTTTCATTTCAGATTGGCAGTGTGACAGAGATGAGCTTATCTGGTAACCAAGAAAGGACAGAAATGGAGAAGAAGCGACTTGTTTGGAAAGTAGAAGGTTTGTTGGAAGAAGAGACCAAGGTGGAGAGAGGTGGACCTGTTGATCCTACAAAATTGGTGGTGGAACTAGCACCAATGGAAATCCGCACCTTTGTCATCGACGTTAACCATCAAGCAGTGTTTGATGCTTAAATGGTTTTTATGCTATCTATATATATATATATATATCTATGGTATGGTACTTTGGTTTGGTTTGGTTGTAACAAAGTATATATATATCATGTCATCATTACTAAAATGAAGTATAGTTATTGTCTGATCTGAATGCCATCGATCCATTGCTTTCCTGCTTCAGTGCCATGGAATAAGAAAATGGAATATGCTGATATATATGATTATTCCCTCCAGGTTGCATTCCCAACTTCCAATAAATATAAAACTTAATTAATTAAATTCATGGGTGGCCAAGTGTAGTTTTGTAACCTTCTTAAGGTAAGTAAGTATTTAAGGAATTTATTATTTCTGAATGCATTAAGTCAATAACATAAAAAGATGTGCATTTGATCCTAGACGCTCAATGCCATTAGTTATTGAAAAATGTATGTTCTCTTCTCTTAGGTGGGTTTCGAATCCGTTTTATGTCAAAAAGTTCAAAAAAATAAAAATAAAAATAAATAAAAAGATGTATTCTTAAAATCATTAAAAATAATATTTAGTTTTAAAATTCTTGAAAGTTAATTGGAGGATACTTTATTTATCAAAATTAATAATAATAATAATAAAAGTAAATTAGTTGTATGAATTTACTTAAGTTTGAATGAATAATACCCTCATAATTTTGTCTTAAAATATACTGTAGTTTTTAATAAAATTTGATTTACCAAAATAATATATATGTAAAATCATATTCATATTAAAAAAAGACAGTTGGGGGGCAGGAATGTAATTTGAGCAGCGGTCTCATCATTCGGTGAAGATTCTTGTTGGGGTCCGACTCCGACTCCGACTCCGACTCCGACTCCGGCTCCGGGAAGGGAAGGGTGGGTGAATGAATATTTATCAAAATCGTCCCTCGACTGAAATCCAAAAGGCTAAATCGGCGACGCTCCCAAATTCCCTCACCAAATTTCTCAGCTTTTCATGTCCATCTTGCCCTCACAAGTCCAACGTCCTGCATCGTCTTCCTCTCAAGCTCCCTCTCAAAACCCTAATCCCAATCATGGCTCTCCTCCGATCACCTTCGGATCACTCAACATCTCCGACTCTTCCCTCCATCAGCCTTCTTCTTCTTCTGGTGATGTGATTTCTTTTATTATTAACTTTTTTAAGCTCTTTAATTTGTTTGCATAGATAGTCCAAGACGAGTCTTAGCTCTCGGCTCTTTATTGTTAACAAATGGAAAGCTTTCCTTTTTCTTGTACTACTATTTATCGAGCTTTATTTTGTCTTTTGGTGGTGACTGAAACAACTTATTTTTATGTCTTCAGCTGCACAAGATTCTGGTGGATCTTCCAAACAGGTATGATGCCATCATAATTTTCCATAAAGAATGCTACTTTTCTTAAAATCAGCTCCAAATTTGAAAACTTTTAACAACTGCATGCATCCTTCCAACTGCTGTCTAGAGAAGTTGAGTACTTGTTTTATACACACATATATGCATATTTTTTTAGGTGACCCAATTGGAGATACCAAATGGCAAGAGAACTTCGCCTCAACAGAACAGGCAATCCAAAGGGAAAATGTCTGGATCTCCTCGAAATCGTCAAGGTAATGGCTCACATGGAAGCACTCCACATTCTGCCGGAAGGAGAGCCCAGGTGATGAGTGCTAATCACCTGCTAAATTTTCATTATGATCCTGTTGCTCGATCTCGTCCCCAACCACGGCCATCTCCTCCTAGAAGGCAGCGGAAGATAAAGCCTTATAATAAAGATTTGTTCCTTCAGGCAAATTACAAATTTGTTGTGTTGGACACTGGAAATTACTCCCCTGAATCAATGGATCCGGATAAGACGTTACAATGGGAGGATATCATTTGTGTCAGATATTCCACCCCCTTTCCAGTGCAGTGTCCAATTTGTCTCGAATATCCGCTGTGCCCTCAGATAACTTCATGCGGACATATTTTTTGCTTCCCATGTATTCTGCAGTACCTGTTAATGGACAAGTTGGATCAGAAAGATGACTGCTGTAAAAGATGCCCTTTATGTTTCATGATTGTATCATCCAAGGATTTGTACACCATTTATATTGAGAATGTCAGGCAATGCTGTGTGGGTGATAACATAGAGTTTATGCTTCTGACACGACAGAAGGATTCATTTGCTCTATTTCAGAAAAACAAGGAAGTGAAAGATATGCATGCTTGCAACAATGAAATGGATGATATGGTTTCAAAGTTTACATTTACATCAGATGTTAATCTGTCTGTCAGGAAAGCAATATCAGATTTAGATGGTTGGTTGGCCAGAGCAGAGTCAGGACTCGTAGATGATTTAGAGAAGCTTCCCTATGTGTGTGCAGCAATGGAACAACTGGAACAGCGGAAGAAGCATTGGAATGAGCAACAAGCTTATAATACCAAACAATCTAGAAGAAACACTGATTCTAAGGCACAATCCACTGAGCTTGAGGAAACAGCCAATGCTTGGGGTGATATCCATGATGCACGTTGTCTTGGACAGGGAAAACTAGCTGCTGATGATGCTGATGCAATAACTGTTGTAACTGACTTGACCATCAAAAAGTCAAATGGAAGGACTGCTTTTGATCAAAATGCTATGGGTGAATCATTTGAAGTCCAAGATGCACTTTTGTCATCATCATGTGATGAAAATAAGAGTTTGGAAGGCCACTCAAGCTCTTCTAACAGTGGAAAGGATAATGACTCCTACAATTTCTACCAGGTGACCATTATTTAATGTTGTAGATTTATTCTAATCCTACTTAGCTTTCTTTAGGTTATAGTTTTATATGAGCTTGAAAGGCAAAATCCGTTTGGCATTCAAGTCATTAATGAGGTTGGCATATGGTTTTTATGTGTTGTGGAAAGACTGGCTCTCTGTGGCCCTGCAGACGCTAAATTAAAATTTATTAGAACTATCATTGCTATTTATAGTTCATAACATCGATTGCTCCCTTGTTACTTCCTTGTTACGATTATAAAATAAAACCTTGGCCAAGATGCTGCACTTGTCCTTATAATAACTCTAATAAATGAATTAATATAAGGTATTGCTGCTCATGTTCAGTACTTAAACATCCAAAATTGTTGTTACTTGCTAACATTAGTTATCATCCTTCCTGGAAGTTCCTACCTGTTCAATGTTTCAAGAGTAAAGTTTGCATGATTACAGCTTCTTATCCTTGGTAGCTTTAATTATTTCAGGCAGTTGATGGGCAGCACATCATTCTTCACCCTTTGAACATGAAGTGTCTTCTACACCATTATGGGACCTATGACTTACTTCCTCAAAGGTTGGAAGCTATTATTTGTTTGAGGCAGTTGAGCAATAGTATTGTTCCCTATGTGTGTTTTTGTCTGGGTGAGTTTTCTGTTGACCTTGCCAAAGTGCAAATTATGAATTGCAGAGTAAGTGGAAGGATTTTAGAGTTGGAAACAGTGACGCAGTCTGAGGCAATGAGGAGGCGCTATCGTTATTTAAGTCATTTTTCCTTAACGACAACCTTCCAGGTACCCTTTCACTGCAAAGTATTATTTTTCCAAATCCGAGATTTTAAAACTATTCTAATTATTTGCCTTGCAACTTCAGCTGTGTGAAATTGATCTAAGTAGGGTGCTACCTCCTGATGCTCTGCTTCCGTTTTTGGATGAAATCAAGAAGCGTGAGAAGCAGAGGAAGCAGCTAGCCAGAAAGGTAATATTGAATGAATCCTGAGCCTTCTTCAGTTTCTGTTCTTTACTTATAATTTGTTTTGGTTTTCTACAGTTTGATTTGAAACCATAATGTAGTTTCATTCATTTTTTTAGATATGAACTGTTCTTATTTTTTTTAGGAACAAAAGGAAAAAATCAAGGCTGAAGTTGCTGCTTCTGCTTCTGCAGTGCAGTTTATGCCCATGGTGTCAAATATTGGACAGTCCTCTTGTGACAATTCTCCAACATTTTCCATGGATGACTTTGAAGGTAATAAATGCACAAGTATAGAGTAGGTTGAGACTTGAGAATTTCTGGGGTTCAATCTGGTATTTGCCATTTTAGTTATCTAATCATCTAGTTGCATGTTATTCTTGGTGTTTGATCAATTACATTTAAAGAACCTGTTCTGCATTCCATGTTGTTCTTTTGTTATTGAACTTGAATTTTGATGTTTTAATCGTGTACATACATCTGCTTGTTGAAAATTTCCATTGTCTTTTCGTGTGAATAATTCATAATGCTGAATTGTCCATTTATTTTTCTGCCATACTTAGCTCTGGGAAGTTCTGCCATTATATCAACAAGTCCTCCAGTTACAGGGGAGAGGAAACTGTTCTCAAGTGTCACGAGGCTTGGTTTTGCTGCAGGGCATGATTCCCCTGCCTTGAAAATTGAGGAAGCCAATGCGGAGCATAAAAGTGAAGTAGCAAAGGACTCTGCTGGTAGTATAACAGGTATTCATCTTCTGGTTCTAAGATTATTTCCATGCCCCTTTGATCACAGGTCTAATTTGATGTTTGTTGATTTGTTGCAGGGTCGAGAAATTCAGGGTCAGGCATGCTTTCGTTTGCAACAATGATATCAAGAGCAAAGTCCATTGAAAATTTGGGTGCAGCAGCTAAGATGAATGAGAATGAGAATGAGAGGGGAAAGAAAGGGAAGAAAGCAAGTAGAGTCCTATTGTCAACAGCTGGTGGCAGACGCTATTGATATTTTGATATTCAACTCCTGAGGCCAAAGGCCAACCTGGCTACCTTACCCCTTGTTAGTGTTAGATACTTGTCTAAGAAGTAAGAACCAATATGTATAAGCTTTAGCTGACGTGCAGAACTCT